CGAATGAGATGATCACTACATAATTGTATAATTTTCAATAAAGACTCAGTTTTGAGCCAGTTCATAGGCTATTTAAATATTTTCGATACCACACATTTTGGCTCGTAGTGCCTGCTTTTCTTTTCTGAGGCAGCTTTTTGATCTTTACTTTTCGTAGGGTAACCATTGCTGACTTCGTGCTTGGATGAAATTAAGTAAATATCTATGCATAGAACTAACTGGAGTGGCTTAGCAATTTTAATTACTTCCACATCTGTTGTTGATATGTAAAGCCTTTCCTTTTCCATTCTTTCATCTTCTGGGACTCACTTCAAATATTTTTATGAAAAATTTTGTGAAAAAAGTACTTCGTGACTTAGCTTTTAGCCGTGATGACAGAATGTGGCTCGATTACAGATTCCTGTAAATGGATTCCTCTGTCGTCTTTATTTTACATATATACGGCTTTTTTCCTGAATCAATGATTTGATATGACCGATTCAACTTGGTAAACGACGTTTGGGCGAAAAATGAATTTTTACTAAAACATTCGTCCATTCACTTGAATCGGCTCTGCGTATTTCCTAACTATTCGGTAGAAAAGATTTACAGATGGAAAAGAATAAAACAAAATCCAAGGATTTTTCTCCAAATCGGACTCGACATGGCTGAAGTTTGGTGTACGGATTATTTCTGGATAAAACTAAGCCGAATTATGCTCAGCCGTTTTAAAAAATTGTCGTCCTACACAGTCACTCTCATCAGTAGATTCATATAAGTGCAATCATATGTAATATGTTCATAGTCTGCAACAAAATGCACAACATTTGTGCCGAAACCGTAAAGCCGCAATTATTTGTTGTCTAATTAATTGAAAGCAAACAAAGTGAAACTGAATATCTAAACTCAAACACAAATAACTTTAAGTTATTTTGCTTGCACACAAAGTAATTATATTAAAATATGTACGCATGAATGTTTGAGAAGTAACATATGAGAAGAAGAACCACAACTACAACTCTTCAAATATATGCAAAAGAAAAAATCCTCAATGCAATAAAATTAAATTAAATTAAACCAAATCAAATAGAATAAAATATATTTAATAAAATAAAATAAAAAAAAATAAAATAAAATAAAATAAAATAAAATAAAATAAAATAAAATAAAATAAAATAAAATAAAATAAAATAAAATAAAATAAAATTAAATTTAATTAAATTAAATTAAACTAAATTAAATAAAATACAAAAAAATAAAAAAATAAAAAAGGGTAAAATAAAATGAGGTAAAATAAGATTTAAAAAAAAATCTGTTTATTTGATTTTAAAAATAAAACAGAATGAAAAAATATAATTTTATTAATTGAAAATAAAAAAAAAATAATAATAATATATAAAAACAAAATAAAATAAATTAAAAAAATTTAAATATTTCATTATATAATTAAAATGAAGGAAAATAAAACGAAATTAATTAAAACAGATATAATAAAAAAAATTAAAAATAGCAATATAAAACAATAGAATAAAACAAATAAATTGAATTGGAGTTGAAAAAATAAACAATTAAAATAAATACCAAAACTAATCGTTACATTATCGCTTCGAGTTTTGAAACACACACTGCCACACAAAAAACGAAAATGGCAAAGTCAACTTGCTGAAATGGTGTTAAACGGCAAATGTGGTTTACATCAAGTAGACAAATAAATAAACAAACAATGTCGCACAATTTCAAATAACAACAACAAAATTAACAAATAAGTATTATTACCAGCAAAACACGCTGCGAATATATACATACATACAAACATACATATATGGTTATGTTGATATTTCTGTGCTCACATATTACACTTAAAACTATCACGCACACAACAATGTGCTTGCAACAACAATTAAAATACCCAAACGAAAAACTGAAATGGTAATGAAAATGTATAAATGAAAAACGATAAGTAAGAAGAAAAATGTCAGAAGCCAAAGCATTATTTGCCGCAGTTGTGGTTGCAATACAAAAAGCGGAAAAAAGCATTACAATACCAGTATAGATAACAAACGAACAAAAATAAACTATATGTTAACGACAATCAAATTGCAACATACATACATTTATACATTATGTGCATGCAACGGTTAACCGACAATTGCAAGTGGCAAGCAAAACTCAAGCGGCAGGGGGCAGGCGATAAATGGCCAACCAAAGTGTGGCAGCTGAGTGCACACAGATATACATATATACACATGTATATTAGCGGTACTGACTAATTTGTGCGTATAAATATAGCGAAAACGTTTTTTGAATATACATGCATACATACATATGTGCAATATATAGATTTATACACACACACACAAAAATATGCCATGTATCGCAGAGATTTATGAACATTATTGCTTGAGATTATTAAAAAATATATATTTTCTTTTTTTTTCATTGATTTCTCCTTGCCATTTTGAAGCTTTGACAATTTTTGTAGGCTTCTTGATGCTTAGAAAATAGTGAATTTTTCACAAATTAAGTTAAAACACGTCATGTGAATATCTGACTATGGCTAAACATAAACTGTTTTATACATACATATATGTATATTTACATACATTTTTAAAAATACATATAATATTTTTTAATCATCTCAAAATCATCGCTAATTTTCTCGCTCTACCCTCAGCCACATGTTGCTCTCAATATCAACGCAATCCAACACGAATTCCACAAAATAATTCAGCGAAACAAGAAAAAAAAATGTGAAAAGCTAATTTTTCAAATTGGAGAAAGAAAGATAGAAAGAAAGAAAGCTTATGAATTTGAATTTTTTCTTTTGCGCATTTATTCTGCTTTCCAACGGAGCCGTCCCGAGATATTTAAAAATTGTCTATTTCACCTGAGTGTGTGGCGGCAGGCAATTAAAATAACGAAAGCAAACAGCAATTATATATATACAAATGAGTACATGTGTGCACGTTTGTTTCTATTAGGTTAAAATACCCTGCAAACAACACGACTACTCCATGTAGTAATCCAAAACTAACCACTATGCATACAAAAAAATATAGTCCCATTAGCATTGCAATATACTAGAGCTGAACCACAAACTACATCTCTGCATTACATCCGGGTAATCCATGGAGTACATAAATGAAATTAGTTTTGAAATTGATCCAAAAACTACTCCATGGTGTCCCTACAATGGGTTACATTATGAGGTATAATATATACGAAAAATGACATTCGGACAAAGTTATTACATACATACATACCAACATAAAATTTATCATTTAAATAAAAATAAAAATTTTGTCGCCAATTATTGCATTTTAGTAATATATTTAAATTGGCTCATTTTTCCTATCTTCATTGGAATATATACATACAAAGGATCTAACTTATGTCCCTATTCTAGTACCAGCAGAATTCACCAGTTTTATATACACACACATACGTTTATTCGTTTAGTAAATGCGATCGTTAAAACACAAGCAACCATTGCCTAACGCGAGTTGATACAATAGTTGACTACAGAGGAGTACCTATTGGATTACTCCAACGGACTATATGGTCCAAAAATTGTTGCAGGGTGGATATGTACATGTGCATACCATGCAGTGAGATAGGGAAGGCCAAAGGAGAATTATCAAGTTATTATTAAACTAAATATTTGTTATATATATATTAGGTGATTATTTGAACTATAAAAATTTTAAATGACTTATTTATAACCGGATTTCCCATTTTACAATTAATTATAATAAAAATTCCATGTCAATATTTTAATTACCATTTTTTAGCAGAAAATAAGGAAGCACTAAAAATTTTTAAATTTTCTCAGCTATAAATTAAATAATAGAGATCCTTCTTAATATAATGTTTTAGATGTTTTCAACATTAAATAGAAATTTTCTTAATTTTGGAAAAAATTTGGTTTTTTTTAAAATGTTAACTTTAAACCTTTTTTTCATAGAAATAAAGAAATTAAGAAAAATTAAAAACGGTATAAAGTTTATGTGAATAAAAAACGAATTGGATTTTTTTGTTTTAATCTAATTGAAAGAAAATATTTGCACTCTCTAGCATTTTCATATGTCTCAACGAACATCAAGGACTCAATGTGACAATTAATATTTTTTTTTTTTTTCAGATAAAAATTCATATAGAAAATTTTTCTCAAAGCCAAACTTAACACTTTCGAGACCACATATAGACGGCTGCTCTGAAAACTTATTTTTTGTTATATTTGTGCTAATGTGATCTTAATTAAGGGACTTGGACGGTTACAAGGTCTGACGCCAACCTGGCAACGAGATATGCTTATGATCTCATCACCGGCAATGTCAAGATTAACTTCATACTTCAAATTATATGATTCTCTAAGCAGTTTTTTGAAATCTCACTCAGATTTCAATTGGCAGCTATCCATTCTATTTTTGCTGACCGTGCCGATTGAAAGTATTTGAACTTCTTTCAGTGTCATTATAAGACTTATTGATGTAAACCAATTGTCATAATAGAGATTGTAGTTTTTCATTCCGCATTTATGAGGTTTAGCTGGGTTTGAATGGTGAGTGGCATAAAAAAATACGAAAATTCATTGTTTGCAAGTTGTGACTTTTTAGCTATGCCTAATCTAAAAACTAACCTTTGCAGGCAATTACTTGTTCATCTATACTCTGATGCTCTTATTGGGCCATGTCGCGGAACTTTTATTTTAGAATAGGCAAAAGGGGACGTATCTTGCATAATTTGTCATAGTTACCATCACCTTTGATAGGCTGCTCCGTCTTCTCGAAAAAATGTAGTTATTTTTTAGTTTTTCGAATTTGAGACGCGGCAATGAGTTTGTGATTGCAGTGAATTTCAACTCTTGAGACCATGCGGATTTGAAATTCGGTAATTTTATTACTCCCTATTATAATAATAATGTATCGACGAATATCATCTCTTGAGCACTTTAACTCATTACCAGGTTCCTGAAGTGCGTAAAAGTTTGTTTGGTATGTACACAATAACTGATCACTCACCTGCAAACCGATCAGGCTCTAGGCCAGTATCTGGATCTAAACCATTTCCGTCTCCATTCCATGCAACTTATTTTGTACTGAATGTTTTTTTCTCCAGCTCAACGTGGAAAAGTCGATTTTTCCAACAAGACGATAAGCTTTTCCATCAACCCTTTGATTGCTTTCAGATATTTATATCATGGTCTGAATTAGCTAAATTTTTTAATAATCCGATCTCAGATCCTTCTCTTTTCTACAAAAATCTTTCTAAATTCGCTTCCAAAGCTTTTTTTTCAAAAATATTAATCACCTGTCAAAAAGCTTTTTGCTCTATTTTTGTGCTACCAATTTCATATTTTAAAAAATAAGTTTTCAACTTTTTAATATTAAAAAAAAATTATTATACAAAATTTAAATCCGAAAAAAATAAAGAAAACTAAAAAGTACTCATAAAAAACTCAAATGCTTTGCATAGTATTTTCCGAAGTCGAATGGAAATAAGATTATTTTCAGATGACTTAGCATGTTTTTTATTAAAAAAAAAATATATAAAAAATTTTTAAAGTGGCCATATCATGATGAGGTTAAATTGAAAATTAGGTATAATGTCGAAAAATCTTTTTGTGCCAATTTTATATTGAGTGAAACCAAATTCCTTTTTTGTATCATGGATTTTACTTTATTTTAAATGACATAACACTGCGCTCGCGGTAGCCGAGTGGTTAGCATTGCGTACTGAAATTCGGAAGGCTCGGGTTCATATCTCTGTGCCACCAACATCCAAAACTTATGGAAAATTAATTTAGATAAAAAATTATGTTAAATTATTTAATTGCGGTCGCCCCCCGGCAGAGAATGTCAACACCCCCGAGTGTATTTCTGACATGGAAATAAAATCTTCTCCTCTCTCGGAGGCGGCTTAGTATAAACAGTATACCCCTCCAGTATACCAGCTCAGCCGAAAACCGCTTTAACGGATACAATAAAAAATAAAAAATAAAAAGCAATAAATAAAAAATTATAAATAATAAATAAAAAATAAAAAATAATTAATAATATATATTAAATAATAAATAATAAAATAATAAATAAATAATAAATAATAAATAAAAAAATAATAAATAATAAATAATAAAATAATAAATAAATAATAAATAATAAATAATAAATAGTAATTAATTAAACTCTGGGATCGAAAGGGTTAAAAATGCTAGTGTAATATTTTTGGAACATGCGATACTCGTGCTATTTCCTATTCTTTTTTTGCGCAAAATTTATGTTTAAATTTTTATTTTTGTTCGTTTTTAACTTATCCTTTTTTTTAATTTTAATTTTTTTATAAGAAAATCAGCCAATGGTATCGCCGGTTACTGAAATTCTTCAGACGTTCGTTGGTGTCTTAAATTAAACCATAGATCCCGCCATCCTTTGCGCAAACATCAAAACGCATACAGAAAGTTGGAAAGGAAGATATGAGGAAACTAATTTCAGGAAAAATCAACAAAATTTAGTATGTGGATCGCTAGAGGCAAAAATTAACAAAACAATAGAGGAGCCGCGATAATACGATTTTTATGTCGTTTTCGCTGGTTGCTATAATATCAAATATTTGGAGCAATTGGCCAATTAAATTTATTGAAACTTCGGTGAAATGTCTACTTCTAAAGTAACTCAATTCTATGTTAATACATTTTTTATAAAAAGTCAGTTGTCAGAGTCAGCTTGCGATTTTTTGATTAGAAGATAATAGTTCGATAACATTTGTTCACAGTTTTCTCAATTGGTTTTTAACCTTCCCTACAAAAGTTTTTGTTCCACCCAGGTATTTCTTCAGGCTCGGAAATAGGAATAAATCTCAATTTAAAAATTTTCCCCACTGTTCTTTTCTCGCACCAGTTACAAAAATTGTTTTCCACCAAAGCGAAAAAGTTCCCAAACTTCCTAAGGCTAAGGCTAACCCATTTGGTTCCGACCTTTCAGAAAACGCTCTTAGAGATTGGTAGGGTATATTTCAAATACACTATGATTATGAGAAAACCGTTCGCAAAGCGACCAAACCTACGCCTTCGTCTAGTATTTCAGTATTCTTGAGTTAACCTCAGCCATCAACTCGACCGAAAAAAAAATAATAATAATAATTATTACCTAAAACCCATAAAATGTGGGAAAAAAAGTGTTGAACTCGACAAATTATTCTGACTGCTTATTTTATAACACCGTGTATTAGCTCACCTTCAAATCTGTGCATAGATAAGGTGAAGCACACAGTTTCAGAGATTTTTTTTAAACACACACATACAGACATATTTATAAATACACGTATGCACACAAATATATGTATGTATTTATATATAAGTATATATATTTCATTTTATTATTCAGTAAGCACAGTATTTGCAGTATATGTATGTACATATGTATGAGTGCCTGTATGTATGTAGGAGCTATCTTGCAGATTGTTTGCTTGAAAGCTTTAATTGTAGCTACGAAAAGTTGCTGTCGACGCTATAAAATAATAACAATAACAACAGCAACAACAACAGCGGCGAATAACTCTGTATCGCCATGACAGCAAGAAAAGAAACAATGACAGCAGTGTTGGCAGCAACAACAACAGGAGCAGCAGCAGCATCAGCATCATTTCAAATGCCACGCTGTGCTGCATACAACATTGGCTCAGATAGCGCAGCAGCAGCCGTCATACGAACATATGTATATGTTTACATATATACGTACATACATACGAGTACATATGCGAGTAAATATGTTGAATTTGTTAGTAGTATTTGTCTACATGTTGCGTTTCAAAAAATTTTTGCGGCCTTTGCATTCGAAAAGCGGCGACAGATTTTTTAGTCTTTTACTGTTTCGAAGTGGAAAACGTCGTTGGAAGCGACGCGACGCGGTGACAATCAGTGAGCGTGTTGAAAGCACACAAAACAAACAAATAAAGCCAAACAAACCACAATTATTTGCCAACAAAAGATAACCAGCAACGCGAGATACGCGAGATACGCGAGATACGCGAGATACGCGAGATAATCAACAGCGAGGTATTCCGTTAGTTGTTTGTCGTCGACAACATATAAGTGAACTCGAACAGAAAGAAGTTCCCAGCGTACATCGCAGTAGTTAAGGCATAAAATAAAAAATAATAAAAATAAAAAATTTAAAAATATCTGGAAAAGTGTGTTTGAAGTTTTGAATATTTTCCTAAACGAAAGGGGTGAAGAAATCTTCAAAACAAAAGTAAAAGCTAATAAAATACGCTTACAAAACGTCCATACGCTCGCCACCAACTTAAAACGCTGGAAAAAAACTGTGAAGAAGGGTTGAAAAAACTAAACGCGATTCAAGAGAACATTTTAGAACTCAGTTTATTTTCATCCGTTAAGCCAGTCTCGTTATTAAACGCGTATACGCGTCGCTCTAATTACCGTTAAGTGACAACTACAACGACAAGGGAATTCATTGCCACTGCTGCTTGCTGTTGCCCTTGAAAGTCAAACAACGTGAAAATGTACGTACATAAATACGTAGATAGACATGCTCATACATATATATATGCATATATTCTACATTTGTCTTCAATTGCACGTAGTATGTATGTATGGGTACATTAAGCGCTTTGTTGGCCATAAAAATTATTAATAAAATTATTTCATATTTTTTTTTTAACAATTTTTATTGCAATTACAATGCAAAGGTATGCAAATTGTCTGATCTTGGCGAAAGAATTTCATATTTATGTTAACATGTGCCTTAGGGTAATTACAAGAATTATAAGAATCAGCAATTATCTTACCTAACAGTGCGATAGCAAATAAAACTCGCATGAATTGATTTTTCGAAATATGCCATTAATACCCAGGTCTTGAAGCTCTAAATTCCTTCTCTTTTTTTTATGTGAGAAAACGGAAATTCTCAGAAAAGTTTTATTTTAATAATATCGCATTCATTGGAAATTTAGTTATGCATAAATTTTTGGAAAATAATATTTTCGCCTAACTTAAAACGTCTGAAAGATTAAGCCAATAAAAAACACACCTATATAACGATTAAAAGAAAAAACTTAGAAAAATGTGGATAAAAGAAATCTGTAACGTTATTATAATGATATTATATATAAACAATTTATAGAAATTTAAATTTCTAAGTACTCACTGATTTCATATTTAAAAGAGTTAATTAATTTAAAAAAATTAATTTCAAAAATGAGCGTCACATATTTTCCGATGATAGAGAAATAACAAGGACGACCATAATGTACACAACTGTCACTGCATGGCTGATATCATTTTATATTAATTAATATTATTTGCTCTTGAAACAATGTTGCACAAATAATTATAGAGGCATAACCTCTATGTTGTTAGCATATAGTATATATTAAAAAACACACCCTAATAAATCAACAAAAAATATGACTAACTAAGAAGCTCTCAAATCTTTTTGGGCCATAAATTTCGAATTATATTCATAATCAAAAAAATAAAATAATATAGATAGAATCAATAAATTTACAAATAATATAAAATAAATAAATAAAATAACAAAATTAAAATTAAAACTAAAATTAAAAATTAATGGAAAAGAATAAGTAAAAAATAAACAAAATTAAGTCAAAACAAAAAAAATGTACTAAAACAAATAAAAAAAAATAATAAATTGAAGTAAATAAAAAAAAGATGTCACATAAAATAAATAAACGAAAATAAAACAAAATAAGCTAGAATAAAATGAAATAAATTGAAGAAACTAAAAAACAATGCAAAATATAATATACAAAAGAAATTAAAATGACATCAAAATAAATTAAAATTAAATCAAATGAAAAAAATATAAATTTAAAATAAAACAAAATAAAATAAGATAAAATAAAATAAGATAAAAAATTAATTAAAATGCAATTAAAAATTAAATAAAATAAAATGGAATAAAGTAAAATATGTTATATATAAGTTAAATTAACTTAAATAAAATAAAAACCATTAACAATAAAAAAATTAAATTAAATTTAACTAAATGATATGAAGTAAAATAAACAAAAAAAAAATTAAAGTTAAATTGTATAAAGTAAACTAAAATTAAATATAATATAAAATGAAGTAAGATAAATTAACGTAAAATAAAGTATAGTAATAAAAAATGAAATCATTTTTTTTTTAATTAAATAAAAAACGTCAAACTATAACAAAAATAAAAAAGTAGAATAAAATATTATTAAAATAATTACATTAAAAAATTAATAAAAACTAACTTAAAATAATTTAGTTGAAATAAAGTAAAATGAAATAACATAATTTAAATGGAATAAGATAAAATAAAAAAATGAATAAACTAAATCAAATAAATTTCATTAAAATAACACATAAGAAAACTAAAAACTTAGCCAGACTTTTTACTACAAATAAATAATGTTTAATGATAATTTTAACAGTTTTATTTATATTTTATTAATGGTAAAAATTAAGTTTTGTTATTTTAAAAAATGCTTTGATCGAAAAGCTTTGTTTTTTGGAAAGAAAAAATAGACAACTCCTTTTTAAGAGACACACCTAGTGTAATGGCTTGAAAAAAGGTGTTTTTTGGGAATTTTTTATTACAAAAAATACTTTATCAATTAATTCAAAATTTTAAGAATATATTTATATATGTTTCATGAAATTTTTGAATAAAAAAATTCAACATTTTTTAAGTTATAGTCGATCTCCAACGGCGCGAAAAAAAGTCCTTCACACTGCTGCAGTGATTCAAGCCTTCTCCATGGATGAAATCTAAAAAAAAAAAATGCTCGATAATATTGTCTGTACAGTGACCTACGATAAAAAAATCGAAAATTGACATTATGGAGGCGTTTTAAAAAAATAGTAGAATTTTACCCAAAATTTTGGTCGTTTTTGGCCTGCCGAAATTCGATTTTTGATCAAATGAAAAATCAATAGGTCATTGTATGGAGAACTATATACAGAATATGTAAAAAAAAACTCGATAGTGATCGGATCATTTATTTTTGAGGAATCACTGCAGCAAATTCGGAATATTCTGTTTCGAGAAAAACGCGTTTAAAGATAAAATGATCGTTTTGACTCGTAACTAATGAGACTCTCTAGCTGCCGTGCGGCTGCTCTTTAAATTGCTATAACTCAAAAAATATTCAAGATATCGACTTGAAATTTTAATATGTTATTTTTAAAGAAAAATGAGAAAATTTTTTTTTTTTTTTTTTAAGTTTCACACTAGGTGTGCCCCTTACTAGTCTTAATGGAATCGAAAGTTCAACAATGGAAATGGTTTTAACGATAGAAAACAGATATTTCTAAGCTCTATAGATTTAAGAGTCAAACGAGCATCATCCTTCTGCATTTGACCAGTTTGGTGCACTTTTTAATATCTACTTTTAATTTGGCTGTTTGCCTACAATAGACATTCAAATCTCTAGCATTATTCAGCCGTGGGTGCAGTGCAAAGTGGAATGTATTCTAAAACTTACAATATTTAGAAAGCACAGTCTTCTAGTCATTAATATTGGCTTTGAATGCGAATCTTATTTCGGACTATATTTTACTTAAATATATGGCTATAAAACTCTTTACGATTAGTATTATAATATTAAAAAATAATAATATTAAAAATAATAATTTCTTAATACGAAATCTTAACATTTTCTCCAAAACATTTCATCTATCATCATTTAAAAAATCGAAAACACAAAATCTCCTCTACAATTAATACGATTAATTCAAGGTTTAATATTTCTGCTAAAAATTATTAATAATAATTTTTGTGATAAACATATAGTACATACACATACAATTGTTGTATTTAGTCACTCAAGCATGCGTGAGTGATGAATGCACCTGTTGGCAAATATCCGCGATTAGCAGCAGTCAAGAGGACTTGTTTGGCCATCAATAATATAACACTCGAAAATTATAAGAAAAACAGAATAAATCAAAATAAAAAAATAAAAAACAATGAAAATTTAAAAATAATATAACAAAAAAATTAAAAGAAATACATTTATACACTAACATTGAGATTTAGAAAATCTAAAAGTTTTTTGCATAAGAACAAAAAAAAAACTCTAAAACATCTGACGAGTGATCGCTGGCTTCTTCAGACTGAATCATCTACCTGTGTCGAATGGGAAAGCACTGCCAAGCATATGTAGAGAGCACACATACACAAAAAAAAATACGCACAGAACTTTTTTATGTACTCCTACCAGTATCTTTGTTTGTGTATATTCCTATGATGAATGTGGTTTTATCATCGCAACCTTTCCCCACAGGCGATTAATTTTGTTTTAATGTTTTTTTTTATATTTGCCTATGTGTGTGTGCGCGTTAACTCGTCTACACAGCACTGGCTGATTCATTAGTTTTTAAATAACCAAATGTTCGTGCTTTTCATTTGCAGGTATCTCAATCTAATAAGTCTCTTCTATTTTGCATTTATTTATTTGTTTTTGTTCTTGTTTTTTTTTTTTTAAGTTTTCGCTGGCAAGTTTCTTTCGGTGGATTTCTTCTTTTTATATGACTTATAAGCATCATTCAATGAGTGTGCTTATGTGTGCATTCCTGTGTGTGTGTGTGGGGGGGGGGGGGTACACTTAAGTGAGCTGTCACAAAATATTGTTGTTATCAGCGTAATTAGTGTAGTGTCATTGAGCTTAACGTTTGCTTTTATTGTTGTTGTTGTTGAAAATTAGTGGTTTTTTCTATGTACTTACTTATCGGCTTAATAAATATTTATTTATATTTACGAATAATTTTTGGCAAAAAAAAAATACTTAAGGCGATGATTTCTTTGTTCTTGGAACATTCTTGGGTTTTAGAAATGTCAATGGATTTGAGTAAATCTTGTATACATTTTTATATATGCAAATAAATCAAATAGTGACATTGATTGCCCACCTTGAGCGAATTTTACTCACAGGTAAATATTTCAAGGTTGGATAGATGAACTCATTTGAATAGTCAGCAGTCAGTCCTGTGGTTAAGTAGTAAAAACTCAGTTGACCACAAAGAGGCAAATAATTTCAATATTTTTCAAAACACTTAGTTCGATATTTTCGAAAATTCAAGTTTAATTGCCTTGTCATTATTAATGCAGGGATTATTTTGCAGACCACTGTACACTTACGTAATAATTTAAACATATGATTTATAAAATTTACTTATCTCTGGAATTAATGAGCTCGATTTATTTACAATCAGTAAAATTTAAATATATTTTTAAGATTAAGATTAAGATTAATAAAGTCTATTTCTTCTCTATTGGCGCTGGCACCGCTTACGCGATTATATCTCGAATACTTTCAAAAGCTAAAGTGCTTTCATCCATTGGACGACATGACTTAGCCAGCGTAGCCACTGACTCTTAATTCACTGAACTATGTCAATATCATCCTATAGCTCGTACAACTCATCGTTCCATAACAGGCGATATTCGCCGCTGCTAATGCGCAAAGGACCAAAAATCTTTCATTAAACTTTTCTCTCGAAGACTTCTAGA